GGGGGGGGGTTTGCGCACGAAGCGCCGGCACGATCGAACAGATGAAACATTAAAAAAAACTAAATTTTTGGAGTAAGATATAATCCGCAAAAGTGTTTACTTTTATTTTTGCGCACACACAATAAAAACAGAAGATTTGTGCTTTTGTAAAATAAAGCAAACAAACAGAATGCGCGTTGTCATCCTTTCCTTTCCCTGAACTTGTTTATGGAGCGCCACACCACACTTCTGTTTTAAATCTGTTAGCTTAATTATTTAAGTCAGATATATTTCACTTTTTTTTTATTTATTTTTTATGAAAACAAATTGTTATTTTTATTTTAGGCCTATTACTTACATAGGCTATACATTTTCCTTAAAGCATCCCATTTTGTCCCAGGGCTTGAAAACCTGTGCCCTAGGTAGTTAGGTCCATGCAGAAACTTGTGAACGATGCTCGTAGTTGTGGCATCACCGTTTAGTGACATAATTGAATGCTCCGGGAAAACTGAAGTTGTATTGTCAGTGTCACAGTGCCTTTTAATTGCTCTACTGAATCCAGCAATGATTTATTTACAAATTATAAGCTCTAATTATTACAAGTGTGGTATTAAAGCTTTGTTTATTAGAGGAATAATTGTTTAGCTGGAAAATGTTACATCGCGACCATGCTTTTGGATGCTGTTCGAGCCCATATAGCCTACATTTACGCGGCTTTGTTCTGGTTTGCCGGTTGGTCACGAATTTCCACAAATTCAATAATATTTAGGCATTGTTTATTTTCCTAAATCCTCACCGTCTAACCCTCTAATTTTGCATGTTTATTTTATTGTCTTTCACTTTTTATCACTGTTTTCGCATCTCTTAATGCGGTAAACGCTCGGGAAGGGAAATGAAATATTTCATGGCCATGAAATAAGAATTTGTTCGATTTATTAATTTGTTAAATCATGAGTTATTTAAGGAACAAAATTAATGAAACATGGACAGTGGCCACAAATTAATAAGTCGTAGGAACGAATTAAGTTGTAGGAATGAATAGCCTAGCCTATCTGTCCTGTGTCCCGCAGCCCTGCAAAGCGCACAATATGAAACAATTATCTGGGAAAATTACTTGGTTACTACATTTCTATTGCTTTCCATGTTGAAGAACTTTGTGTTGTTTCTAATTTACTGTACTAAATGTTTAAATCACATTAAAGGCTTAATTTGTACATTTATGAATGAATGATGATGCATTCATATACAGTCACTTTCACTCACAGCCGCTCGCACTTGTTTTGCGCATGAGCCGCAAGTACCTCAAAATTAAATAGCTTAATTGACCATCGATAGCTTTAATCGATTGCATCTATTATCGACAATTAATCGTTCATCGATTAATCGTTGACATCCCTAGTTTGGTTAGTTCAAACAGCATTGAAAACTTTTGTTACATTATGTCTTTAATGTCACTTTTGATCAATTTAATGCTTCCTTGCTGAATAAGTGTTCATTTATTTTAAAAAATTTAATCTTGCTCACCCCAAACTTTTATGTGTATGTTGCAAAAATAAAATTGTATTATAATTGGTGAGATCAGTGGGGGGGGAAAATAATTTTTGTTGAGCCCTGTTTTGTATGTAGGTTGGTGTTTTTCCCCTCAATATTTCATTGAATTTCTTTTTATTTTACAGTTATTCAAAATAATATCATTTGGGATCATTTGCTAAAACTGTGCTATCATAGTAGCCATCTTTCTAATGAATTGCAAATTCTCTGTAATGCAAACTGAAGCGTTCAGCTGAGCTCCACAGCAGAGGTCACAGGAAAGACATGTGACTGCTGGAGTCAACAGATCTTTGGTAATGTGCACCAATATGATGCACAGACCCAAAGCTTAAACATGGCCTCACTGTCTGTTTTCTTCTCTTGCTCTTTAGGTGTGGCCGAAACAGTCCTTCTGCTGTGAGGGAGAATTACTCTCCTGTCTTTTCTCTCTCCTGATGTCCCCTTCTGCACTGTAAATTCATGATCACATGACTTTGGATATGGACGCAGTCCTGTCCGACTTTGTCCGTTCTACTGGAGCTGAACCCGGACTGGCCAGAGACCTGCTAGAGGGTGAGCCAAAACATCCTGTTCCCCATCACCCTCTCTGATTTTATATACAGATATAAATAATATTTATGCAATTTTAATTTTAATTTATTTTTTAAACATTATGATATTATATGTAACTTTTCTTGATTATACATACTTTACAAAACTACATGAGCCATATAGTGTTAAATATGGCATCTACCCTGACTAAGGTCTTTATGACTAAGTGATTGCAGAAGAGCAAAAAAGCATCTATATGAATGTGTGCAGTAAAGCCTTAACAAACCCAGCACATGTTGCCTAGCAACACTGCAGATAAGAGAATGAGTTAAAATATGTATAGTTCTGCAGTATTCATGCTTGACAGTCGGTACTGACCAGTATTTGCACAAGCAACTGCAGCGGAATGTGTCATTGAACTTTGCTGCTGTGTCGGGTTAATATTTAAACTCCAAAGCAGAGGTGCAGTGGAACTATGAACTCTTATTTTCTTGCATGCTTCATGAATGTGGCTTTCTTCGCAGGAAAAAACTGGGACCTCTCGGCTGCACTGAGTGACTTTGAACAGCTGAGACAAGTGCACGCTGGGAACCTCTCATGCACCTTTGCTGAGGAGAGAGAGTATCCCTCCTTTGAAAAGGAGATAGCTCGGACAGGGCGGCCTCTCTTGCATCGCCAAGATGAGGTTGTTCAAGGTACGAAAGCACTAGAAGGTCTGTCTGCACGGCCTGACCTTAATTATCAAATGTGGTTTGTAATTTTTTTAAATGATTTACCCTGATCATGACAGTTGTCATTTCAAAGCCTTGCCCACTCTCACATGATTAACCTTGTTTTCGAACTGAAGGGAGTGGAGGACTGATAAGAATAGGTCGACCAGATAATAGCTTACCAGTGTCTAGTTTTATATTCTCCAGTATATGCAGTAATCTGAACATGTATCATGGCAGCAGCCACGGAGAAGCGACTGTCGAGGGGAATCTCTCACGCCAGCTCCACCATCGTCTCTCTGGCCCGCTCACACGTGTCCAGTACGGGCGGCAGCAACGAGCCACTTCTGGACACTCCGCTCTGCACCTTCCAGTTGCCTGACCTCACCGTCTACAGGGACGACTTCCGCGGCTTCATCGAGAGAGACCTCATTGAGCAGTCCATGATGGTGGCCTTGGAGCAAGCTGGTTAGTTATTTCATTTCAAGAATCTCTCCTCCGACAGCTGAACAAAATATTTTGATATTATAAGTTTTATAGTCCGATATTTCTAACTTGTTTCGGTTAGCTGCTTTAATCTCTGCTGTCTACATAAGCATCCTGACTAAAATGTAACATTATAAATGACTGATTTGAAATGCCATACATAGGCAGCATGTTGTGCTTCTCATGTGATGCACACAGGAGTTTGCCATTAGCGTGATAGTCTAATAAGCTTAAAGATGCACAGCACACAAAATAATGGGTAAAATAGTCTTCTTTTAGTAGATTTAACTATTGAATTAATTATGGATTAAGTGAATAAATATTTATGATTGGTATTTTACTTGGTCCACTATTGCCCTTCTAGTGTTGCCTACGTAGGTACTGTAGCTCTCTAGTTTTTGAAAAAGACAGGCTGCGTCCACAATCGTTTACTAAGAGTAGGTAAATCGTACCTAAGATCGTGCTAAATCGTACCTAAGAGTAGGTACCTATTTTGAAGTAATTACTTTGTGACAATTAAAAAGTATGTTCAATATAGTTTGAATGCATGTAGTATCAATGTAATACGGACATACTGTTTTTATGATGTCATTGTCATATGTACTACCAGCAGCAGTTGCGTCACTTCATTGCCATTCACATATCCTTTCCTGTAGCCTCATGGGATGGTAAAGTCTCCATTGGATGCACACTTCAGAACCTCAACAGAAAAACTACTTTTTGAACCATTTTACGAATACTGTCAATTCAGACATACTCCTGTTTGCATACTGTTTTTGCTTACTATATTAGAGGGAAGTATGTGATTTTTGGATGCAGCCATAGAAGGAAGTAACTTGGTGTCTGTAGCCACAGATTTGAGAAATAAATGGGGGGTTATTATTATTATTTTTTTCAACAGGACGGTTGAACTGGTGGACTCGTTTAGGGACCGGCTGTCAGAATTTATTACCTCTGGCTACTAGTGGTGATGGGAACTGTCTGTTACACGCTGCCTCACTGGGTAAGTGTTCAAACCGACTTTTTGTATGTAAGCGATCAGCACAGTTTTTATACATATTCATTCCACATTACAGGTTTCTAAAAGTTTGTTGGTGTTACACATAGCTTGAAGATTATAGGCTAAAAAAACATTTATTAATGTGTTATTGAAAGCAGATGCTTACTGGAGTGGCATAGAGTTCTATACAAGTGCTTTTTTTCTGTATTAGATTTATAGTGTAACTATATAACTTATGTCCAAAGCAACAGTAAAAGGGCTGCATACTTGCTTAGAAACCACTGCCAGATGTAATCTTAAGATATTAATTCAGTAATTATGTTTAAAACATTATTATGCAGGTATGTGGGGCTTTCATGATCGAGACCTGATGCTGCGGAAGTCTCTCTATGCACTGATGGATCATGGGCTGGAGAGGGAGGCTTTAAAGCGAAGGTGGAGATGGCAACAAACCATGCAGAACAAAGAGGTTACAGCTCTTTATCTGTTGGTTCATAATTTTTTTTTTTTACAAACAGATGGCAACAGATAATGCTGATCAGTTTAGTATCGGGCTCCATCAAGTCAAATATAAATTACCATCGAAAAGGGTGTTTTGTGTGTGTGTGTGTGTGTGTGTGTGTGTGTGTTTTTTTATATATTTTTTAAAGAAATTAATACTTTATTTACAAACTAAACAAAAAAATAACAGCAAAGACATTTATAATGGTATAAACGATTTAGATTTTAAATAAACTCTTTTGTTTTGAACTTTCTATTCATCAAAGAATTCTGAAAAAAATATCAGTTTCCACAAAAATAAGCAGCACAATTGATTTCACCATTGATATTAATAAGAAATGTTTCTTGAGCAACAGATCAGCATATTAGAATGATTTCTGAAGGATCATGTGACACTGAAGACAGGAGTAATGATGCTGAAAATTCAGCTTTGATCACAGGAATAAATTACATTTTAAAATATAATAAATGGAAAATAACTCTTTCAGATTGTAATATTTCACAATATTACTGTTTTTACTGTATTTTTGATCAGATA